GGCGACCACTTTTTAATTAAAAGCGGTGTGATGTAATTTTAAACTTTATTTACAAGACTTTAAAGACCAGTATCGCTTGAAAGTACACCGCGCTATCGTGCGCGGCCGCGGAGACTGCGCGGGCGGTTTTTAAGCGTGTAGATAAAGTTTAAAATTATTTCACCGCTTTATATACATATCCACAAAAATATCTACATTATTCCATTTAAGCTCAGATTCTGAGTGTCGCATATATAAGTATTTAGTTTTACCTTCTTAACTTCCTAAAGCATCAGTTATTCACCAGATTTTACGGGTAACTTTTTACGTTAAACTAAACGCAATCGGTTAAAACTTAACGCTTTGATGGATAAGACGCTATTCTTCACTTAAATACACTTGTATAGAATTGCAATATAAATAATGATGAATTATTTTGCAAGAATTCTGAATAATGGAGCCCATTAAAGAAATTCAGTTGTTTGTTCGTTGAAGCATCTCAATCAATCGTACTTAGGGTACTATCATTAATAGTGGAAGCATTCCGATTAAAACTAAAATTGTTATAATAAGCACACGGTATGAATTAAGTTTTGTTTAAGAAATAACATTTTTATATAATTCTAAATTACAATCTCAGTACGGATTTGAGGGCACTAACACAAATTATGGGTAGTAGGTACGCTAAAGATTTTGTTACAAAATATTTAAAAGTAATAATTTTCATAACTATTTTACAGTGCGACCATGGAGGTTAGAGAGAAGGAGACCGATCGCTACGTACTAAAGCAATAGCCCGCCTATCCCTGAAAATTTGTAGAATTTATAGTTCAATTTTTAGCCACCAGCCGCGCTGCCGTCGGTAAGTAGTATCTGTGAAGTTAGCTGTTAACGAGTACAAGTACATGAAGTTAGTTGAATATTGTACAAACTTTCTTAGCGGCATTTGTCATTTCAAATTAGCCCGCTTTTATTGAGACAACTTAGCGATCACAGCGCCTCACTTATTTTGTCCGTATTTTTGGGACACTATTTTCTACAGCGATCGTTCTTCTTATCTCTAACCTAACCTCCATGAGTGCGACCAAGATCTCGTGGTACGTAATGACATAGGGTACGGGTACGGCCAGAGTGCACTCAGATTCAGATTCAGACTCAGAAAACAAGCGCGAGAAATATACAGTGTAGTTTAAGCAGGTTGCCTGCTGCCACTATGGCCACCCTGCTTCAACTACATTGTTTATTTCTTGCGCTTGTTTTCTGAGTCTGAATCTGAGTGCACTCTGGCCGTACCCATTGACAGGAGGGTGCTGCTGGTGAGTTAGTGGTGGACTGAGGATAGGGCCGGATTAAGAGGTGCAGAGGCCTCGGGGCAACACAGGAGCGGAGGGCCCCTCACCCCAAATTATTTTCCAAATAAAGTAAAATTTTTTTTTTCAGTCGAGTATTTCAATAAATAATTTATTGTGAACCAAGTAGATTCTCTGTACTGTAGGCTGTAGGTAAAGATAGAAATATCAAAGGAAAAGATGTTTACTAGTGTTTACTAGTTGGAATTAGAAAGTTTTTTTTTCCGAAGTCTATTGTGGGGGCCCCCCCGTTTGTGGAGGCCCCGGGGCTTTCGCCCCGGTTGCCCTCCCCTAAATCCGGCAGGATTACATAAGTACGTAAACTCTTCTCACTAAGGGGAACGTTGTAATTTAAGGGTAAGAGAAAACTCGGAAAGAGTTAATATAATAGGCTTATTTATATCTTCCTCTATAAATGAAAGGCTTATTTCACAGAACACAGATAAAGGTTAGAAGGGCCTTGTGGGCGAGGCAGGCGCGCCACAGTTATGTGTGAGTAAATGCTCATATCTTGATCAAAACTTGGTTCTGATGGCGTCTTAGATTAAAACAAAAAGGTAAGATACTACACTCGGGGCTCAAAAGTGAACCGCTTAATTTGTGGTGCATGACCAAAATTAGCTGTAGTCACAATTGGACATTCAAACATAATGCATGTGCACTCAATATAACAATGTTGCGTATATTCTGTGTTATAAAGATAAAACAATGCCTTAGATGCTTTTATGAAGAACACAAATAGTTCAAGTTTTTGATCTTGATTTGAACAAATGCCACGGCAACACTTTTCATTCGTTAAATAATAAATAAATCACGGTTTGCCATGATTGTTAGTTACTGATTCGCCATTCCCAACCAACAATCAGACCCGTCTTTCCCAGTGGGCACCTTGGACAAGTGCCCAGGGCCCCGTGATCGATAGGGGGCCCCCTCAGATCAAATACAAAGTCCTGTTAAATCACCAAACGGAAGTCATTGGGGCCCCATTATCCTAATATGCCCAGGGCCTCCAATAGGTCAAAGACGGCACTGACAACAATACAATTCAGCCGTCTGTAGAGAGGAAAGAAAACGCAGTTGTCTGCATAGCGACTAGGACTCGCGCCGTTTTGCTCGCGCTGCGTTGAAGCTTACAATTCTGTCTCGCTCGCTCGATTGAATCGTCGCGTCGTTGCTCCCTAGGGGCCATTCGCCTAACGGAAATGCTATTGAAAACGCTAACGCTTTCGATTTTATTTTGTTATTTCTGACCGCCGAAGGTTTTCAAATACCTCACGCTCATTTTTTTTAATATAGTTAGGGTCAAATAAATAAACTCAAAATTACAAAAAAGAATTTGAAATAAAATACTTTATTAAGTAAATTAAATAATAAATTCATACATAGACAATAAAACTTAACAATGAAATAACCAAACGCTCAATAAAAGTCTTTCGAAGGTAGCTCGACAAATTGAATAAAAGTTTTATTCTGACGACGAAACCCGTAAAGGCTACGAAACCTCAATAAATAAATAAAGTTTCGTGCATTAACCCGTAAAAACTAGTTTTATTTAATGAGTGATGTGCGTGAAAACCTAAGAAACAAATATTTTAATATTGTTATTACCAATGCAAAAGAAAAAGAGCGCGAGGCATTTGAAAACCTCAGGCGGTTAGAAATAACAAAATGAAATCGTAAGCGTTAGCATTTTCCTAAGCATTTCCGTTAGGCGAATGGGCCCCTGGTGTGAGCGGCGATTGGTTCGATTTTTTGATGTCGCTCCGTTTGATTGGCTATTTTCTATTTGGTGGCAGTGTAATGGGGGGAGCCGGCGACATTGGTTCCCGTAGAAACGGTACATGATAACCATTCTAACCTGTTTTCTGTGTTCTGTAGCTGATTTAGTTATTTATACCTTCCTAAAATTAGTTCCGATTTCGTACCCCAAGATCTTGGTCTCACTGACTGTATTTAACACTCACAACTGGTTGATATCAGGGCATACCAATAAACGGTCTGTCTTTACTACTACTGTCGATAATAAAGTGAACCTTAAGAGTATTAAAATAAAGTTTTCAACAAAATTGTTTGTGTATAAATCTTTTAAAGTGCTGACCAAACATTCCGAAAATTCATGATAAAGGAACTTTTATTGGTAATAAATTGGTTTTATGATAAGAAAAAACGATTAATTGAAAAGTTGCTAGAATTAATAACGAATTATAGTAGTTTTAGAAAGAAAATAATTAAAAGTAGTACATATTTTGTTTTCCATAGAGGTTTTTCTAAAGCATTTTTTTTTAATTTTCTTTTTGTATGAACACATCGAAAAATATTTAAGTCTGATCATAGCACAACAAAAATTAACTACACTTTTATTCATGACTAGTGGCCCGCCTTCGCTTCGCTTCGGTGTAGAGCTGTAGTGTAAACTATAGTTTTTGTTCTCAGGCTTGTGCTATAAACAATGACTTTATTTATATAATTACACGTGTTATTGTTAGTCAACCATAAAAGATAGACATATGCTATTGCGGAATATTTTTTAGACAATTTTATGTAGAATATTTCCGTCATACATGATTTCTATGTAACTTTAACCATTAAGGCTGCACACGCGACGGAAGCTTAAAAAATGGAGTAACTTCTCCCGTTTTCCCAACATTTCCCTTCACTACTCTGCTGCTATTGATTATAGCGTGATGAAAAGTATACTATAACCTGCCCAGGAGTATGAAGAATAATTGTACCAAGTTTCGTTAAAATCCGTCGAGTAGTTTTTGTTTCTATAAGGAACATACACACAGACAGACAGACAGACAAAAATTTTACTGATTGCATTTTTGGCATCAGTATCGATCACTAATCACCCCCTGATAGTTATTTTGAAAATATATTTCATGTACAGAATTGACCTCTCTACAGATTTATTATAAGTATAGATAACATTTCGCATTTCATCACATGCAGTAGGTACAAAAATAAGTTTCGTACTTTGATGTACTAAAACACATGAATATGATCTTAATAATACCACAATTACAATGTCATGAAAATACATACAAATGTACCTAGATTAAACATTCAATATTGCAAATTATTGTGATCATGTAAAACGTGATTAAAATTAATAAGACATATAAATTAATCACCACAAGCAAAGTGTCATATTCTAGTGTGTTATTAATATATAAGTACACATGTGTTTAGGGATCAAACGTACATAATTACAAAATCCCTAGACAGTTGTCATGATACCATTCTAAGTTGCATGTATTGTTATGACAAATATAAACTACATTCAGGGCTGTCTGTATATTTTAATCCGATGCTCTTGCCACAAAAGAAAGATAACATTGGATTCTGCACACAGCATTAAATAACTTCGACTATCACCAAACTTAAGTAGTGATATGTCGTGAGAGGCGGGTCGTGGCGTTCCCTAAAATATGGTTGAGCAAAGCGATGGCTGGTTCATGCGTCATGCTCGTGAACGGGTTCTGCCAGCGGAGATGAGTCTGCTCTTGCTACATTGGGTACTATTAATCGTTGTACTAAACTTTGATCGTTCATTTTCTTATGCCTAAACAGAAGGACACGGCATTCCTAAACTATGTTAAACCAGTTTTTTATTTTATACCTAGTCATAATTTTTCATCATATTGAAGTCATTTTTCAATTTGACGGCTGTGTATATAATACAGGGGGAAGAAAACAGCTCTTGCCGAGTTTCTTGCCGGTTCTTCTCAGTACAAGGTTTCCCGTAGTACATTTGCGAGCCGATGGCGTAGCTTTTCGACATTCACAAGTGCTTGTAACAGCCTAGTCTGAATAAACTATATTGATTTTGATTTTTATGATGACAGGGAAATATTAAATTTCTGTTTAGTCCGTCAGTTACATTATCAAAAAATAGTGGACACTTATTTTTCTTTTATCAATCAACCATAAAATGACAAAATTAAAGGGCGTCAAAGTTTGGGATGGGCACATAACGTCATTTCTAAGTTAAAATTGTACCAAGATTTGACTGCAAAATTTCAAATCAAAATATCACATTAATGTTTTGAGTAATTAAATAAAAAAATATACAAAATCATTTCATAATTTTAAGAATGAGAAGCGATGTTGTGAAATATGTTATCTTGAAATATTTGTGCACTTTTTTAAAGCACCGAGGGCATTATTTTATTTTTTAACACAGAATATCCGCAATATTATTATATTGAATGCACATGCATTGTATTTGAATGTCAAATTATGACAAAGCAAATTGTGTTCAAAAGCGAATACTAATTTTAGCAGTGCACCTTTAAGGCAAGAGTGCCGTATCTTCCCGTTTTGGTTTATTCTATGGATATTTATATGCATTTATTTATTGTTAATATGTCAATGGCATCCACAGAACTTAAAGGTTGTTACACAATGCTTGTTTATAGTCAATCGGACACGGATTTTTTAACTCCAAGACAACAAAACTGATACGATGCTAACAAATGTGTGATACAGTAGCAAATTTTATTCAAAGAATGTTTAAGCAGTTCACGTTTTGGTGGTCCCTATCTGTTTCTGGCCTTGTTCTATGTGTAGCTTTATTATTCTCATTGAATATAAACTTTTATAATGCAATAAAACATTAACATTATTTAATATATGAAAATAATTTATAAATGCATTTTTATGAGGAATCTAATCAGCCCTAAACCTAATAGACATTGACAAGAAATCTGTGTTGAAATTAGAATTCAATTGAAAATCTAAAGTAAAATTTTCCAAAGTTTGCTTTGATTGTTGGTTAATAATAAATTATAGTGTTCCTTTTAATAAAAAAAAAATTAAAGCCCTACAAGTCACAATAAATATAATTTAAAAAAATTAACTAAAGCATTTCAAGCTCTTTGTTAGCAAAGTAATGTGTGGCACAAAGCTAATTAAGCAATAATTAATTTACATGAGCTGAACATAACAAAAACTCAGACAAAGATTTTTGTTCCTAGTATTTATCAAATGGATTTCAAAATTGCCAAATGTTGTACTGTGCACTGAAGGGTAGTTTATTTTTAATGATGCATTTCTCTTCTTTAAGTATGTACTAATGGCCTACTAATATAACCCATTTGTATAAAATAAATTATCAAGTGTACTATATAATTTTGATTGTGTGTTACTTTTTACCTATTATTGAAGCAAAAAACAAGATTTCACAAAATCCTATGACTAGTATTATGAAAAATAATTTATATCATAGACTTGTTATGTTATTGTGAACACTTAACAAATTTTATTTGCAATAGACATATTTTTTAAATCACAACTTTACAAACTCTAATTTTACCTACAAATCAGACGACTCTAATCCGGTTGGCACATTCCAGACACATAACTACTTGATAGAACTATAAATTGAAATTAAATAGGATATTGTTAATATTGAACATGTAAAAACAAAATATCAAAAGGTCTGCTAGTTGAGGGTTCACTGCCAAAACCTAGGTATATTGTTTAAATCAGCTATACATTTGGAAATACTTCGGTTTATGATCTCTTTGTATATGGTACCTGTGACCAAGTTCTCCCAGACAACATAATACTATACTAGTACTATGTCAAGCCATTTTAAAAGGCCAGTACTGGGGAGCTTTTTGGACATAATAATACTTAGTAATAATAATACTTACTGCATTTAGTTTATCATTTTAGCAGCAAACCCTTATTTTGCAGTGTAAATTGAAAAAAAAAACATCACATCAATCTTTACTACAAATTATTGTTAATTAATCAAATGATATTACTGTATTCCTAGCCCATATTTCATAAGGGCCAATGGAGAAAATGTGGTCAGCTTCAAGTTATTGTATGTACAGGTGCGGCAGAGCGCAGCAGTCAAGTGGTTGCCTTGTCACTGTCCTCATCTTCCTCTTCCTCCTGTGCCATTAGCTGCCGTGCAAGTTGCAGTGCCTGAAATGTCCCAATATTGAAATGTAAACAAATTGAAGTTTAAATTTTGTTTAAAAGATGATATGAGTTACAATGTCTCACTGAACACTTTTGTCAACCTTCTTACAGAACTGTGGCAGGTGGATGATCTGTATCATAAGTTACAAATAAAATAAAACCATAATTCTATAAAAATTGTAAATTCAACATTAATTTTGTACAATAATCTACAATTTAGATAAATCTTAAACCTAAAATTGAAAAATTTCCAGGAAGGAGGCACGTGCAGCTGTGGTACAGTTTATACTAGTACAGCTACCAACAATTACCTCTTCTTGCTCTTTTTCTATTGTTTTTTCTATAGCTTCATCAGTTTGGACATAACACTAAGCTAGAGATATTTCTTTATAAATATGGATTTTTTTATTTTCTGTAGTAACAAAAAGTAATCTATAAAAATGACATGAACAAATGAGTTATTTTGTGACAAATAAAAAAAAACAAAGTTGCCTTTCAAAAATAAGTGTATATCACAATTTTTCTATTAGTGAAAATCATATATCAAAAATCAGGGTGAAAATATTCAAAATTGGAGACAGAGGTTATTTTTAAATCTAAAATAACATTGCGGTTGATTTTGTTTTTTTATGAATACATTTGTCTACTACTATCATTAAATAGCCATGAATGATATTACAGTACCGGCGGTTAGATAATAGATTATCTTGTGAGCATAGTAAAGAATGCTTGCCTGAAATTCATTGTAATGAATCTTCCTTTTTTTCTCAAACTCTAGTCGACGTTGCCGCACCTCCTCCGGCTCTTCCATATCCTCGTCACTATCACACGCATCCAGGCACTTTGGCGGCTTATTCATACTTGCTGCGAGCTTAGCTGCCAAGATATTAGCATCCAATTCATCACTCGGCTCTAATTCTCCATCCACGCTCTCAGAAAACGGTGTTTTAGGTTCATCTACCTTCATATGCCCATAATCTTTGTCAGGCGGGTGGAATGTCTCGATTATATTCATTTCATCAAACCTCTGTTCCTTTGGCCTTTTGCTAGTCGAAGGCGTGCCATCATGTCCATCAATACTTCTGGACGTCTTTAGAATACCCTTGGAGGGCTTCTTTTGCAAATTTTGTGCCATATCCATTTATCTATATCCACATTGTACAGTGGAATTTCACAAAAGTAAAATAATTATTTTTCCTGCAAATGACAAAAAAATCTTACCTATCGTATCATAGAGTCAAATTATTTGACAATAGTTTTTTTAATTTTCTTAAAACGGAAGGCATAGGTTATTTAGGTCCTCCAGATTTGATTGCAGTATTTTTTTTTCATTCCTTTTACAAGCGATTAATGTTGTGTTTATCATCAAATAAAAGTTTTTTGTTCATCAAGATCAACCAATATCTTGACAAGCTTCTGCTAGGTAGTGGTATATACCGTAATTCATTTAAATAAAATATCCCATACTTGGGCTAGTGAAAAGTAAACATAATAATGCGATTCAACTAAGAATAGGACCAAATGGGCGCCATATTGTAGCTGTGAATTAAAACCAAATAGGTAAAGTGAGCAAAAAAAAAGTTTTTATTTAAAACTTATTTACTAAGGTTAAGTGAGAAAAACATATTTTTTTTAATAAAATTTATTTACTAACAATTAGAAAAAAAAACAACCGAGTTTTGATAATATTTATTTATTAAGACTGTAAGAAATAGCAATAATCAGAATCTAGCTCTCAAGTCCGCTCACTCTGCATTACTATTGGAGTAGTTATGAATAATCATGCACTATTACTAGGTCACATACGAACATACATTCTCTATGTAAACGAAAGTTTTAAATCGAGTTTCAATTTAAAGTGACATATGGTTGACGATTTAGGTTATCAACCATTCATAGCCAAAGATCAATAAATGGTAAAACAATATCAACCAATATTTGTTTTTGTTTTTTACAAATGTTTGGTTTTTATTTTAGAATTAGCAGAGGACTAAAAAAAGGTTCCAAGATTTTTTGCAAACCGTACATTTTAAGCGACATTTGACAGATAGAGGTCATTGGCTTTCCTATTCTTAATGTGATTGATAATTATTGCAAATATTCAGTAAGCAGAATAAGTAAATGAAATATAAGAAAATAATAAAAGTTAAGGTTATATAGTATAATGTTTTTTACCTTTGCCTTCCTGAATGGTAAATGTGCAAGAAAATAATGTTAATAGATTGTCTATTGTCGTTAGAGATACCGATGTAAGCATCGTTAATCGATATCAAAAGTCACATAATAAATCGTTTTCAAATTAATCCAGTGATAAGCTTGCTAGACAAACATCGTGTAATCCCAGTCAGGAATTAGCCAACATCGTTATTCAGTCAAGGTATAGTGAGCGCTTTGTAATTGAGTCCATAACGAAAAATTGTGTTAGTAAGTTGCAAATCAAGCCATTGGTATCGTTCTGACTCGATTTTCTAAACCTATACTTATATTAGTGACTGATGTTTAGTTTTAAGTTTAAAGACTCATGCCAGAATCGACATCATTGTCACATCTTCATTGCTTTGTCAGATGACATACAATAGTATCAAACATTCGGAAGAGGAAAAAGCAATATAATTATTAAATAATAATTACATTGATACTTTTTACATTGCTTTGCTTTGCTTGCTTGTTTTGTGGATAACATATTAATTTAAAAAAATATTAATATGTTATCCACATAACTGTCTTGCCTGCAACTTTTGAGTTTGTTGCAGGAAAATAGGTAGTTAGACCTCCTTATTGTTGTTATTTATATAAATAATAATCAGAGCCAGAATGATGAAGCGGAAAAGGAGAAAGATGTAGTACTGTATCAAGACTTCTAACTATCTCCATCACAAATGCCGTAACTGTCAGCCAACTGAAAAAATAAAATGTGGGCCGTCACGGGACGCCTGGCAGATGTGAAACACTAGGCGGTTCACGATAAATACACTCGGAGAATTGCTCGGGATGCGTGCTGTAAAAAAATACAGGTGCTGCCTCGAAGGTCTCTGTGGCGTTGCTGTTCGGCGAGTAGTTGAGCACTGGTATATATTGCATTCTATGTGCGAGCCTCGCCATGCCAGAAATTGGTTTTACGTGAGTGAAAAGATGTTTCACATCAAAAAATCTTTAGAAGAACAAAGCGCCCGTCTTCGATCTGATAGCGAAAGAGGTTCTTGAACAGCTTCCACGAAAGGCGGTAGTATTTCTTACTACGCTCTTTAATGCCACTAGAGTTCGGCATTAGAGTGAGATTAGAGTCCAATATTTTCCGTGTCTATGGAAGGTATCTTAGGTGACTAGCCTAAACACCAATAGGCTAGTTTACTCATGTCGAATTGTATTAAATAAATGTTTATTTCTTAAAGTATTTAGTCTAAGGAACCTTAATATATCGATTTCACTTCATAAAAGCAGAAGATTGCTGTAGAATTTAATTTTAAAAAATATTTCTTAGTCTGTATTTTTTAAACACTAAAAACGCTGTTCGCCACATCCGCCATGATTTTGACGTCTCTTGTGGTAAACAACTAAATGTCATTCGCGTGTTACTGTAGGTGGATTCTTTCGTCTGACTAAATTTATCTTAAAACACTTTTAACTTTAGGAAAGAAAAAAACAGTAAACTTAGTTTTTTTTGACAAAACTAATTATGGATGCCGGCTTTGTGAAAGCAGAAAGCACAAATCTGCCAAGAATTAACGCATTGATGGTTGGTGAATTTGTTGCACCAAACCACGATTTCTGCTCTGCGGAGCAGAGAAACGACAAGGCATCTATGTAAGTACAGTGCATTTAGTATTACAATGTAGTAATAAACATAAAACTGATACAACATATGAATAAGTGTAATAAAGTTGCGTAGGTTAATTTCTTTCGGCACTTTAATCCACAACTTTCCTGGAGTCTTCAAGGATGTGTTTTTATAATCTCGTACAATACAGTAATGATAACTACTTTATTTTTCTCGGTATTTATTAGAAATCATATTTTTTTTATTATAAACTCAGTTAAAAATAATTTTCTACGTGTTTACGAGTTTTTGTTTACCACAGTTCACGTCATAGCATAGATAATCTATAGACTAAAATGGCCGATAGCGTTTTTGTATGTCCATGAAAAGTCTATTTTAAAATTAAAGATTTGTAGCTTTCTAGGTTTAAAAAAAATACAATACATTTTTTTTCGGTCTAATAGAACATTTATTAACCATTTAAAACCTTTTTCCCAAAAGGGTCAACTAGCCTATTCGGATTCAGCAGCACAATAACAATAGTACCATAGAGCAAGTCCAGAGTGTCTGCGAAAGAATAAATAATTGTAAATGACTAACGAAATTTCATTTTAAACAAAATAAATCATTCTACGAAAAATTAATATCAGGTAACAAACCACCATCGATTATATGTCAACAATTAATATTACATTTATATCATTTATTGTTTCCCAGCCCTACTAACTGACCTGACTGCGGACTGCTTGTCTTGTTTATGCTTGACGCTTGTCATTGTCACTCTCTGATTTAGTTCGACTTGATTAATTTTACTTTATTTTGTTAATATATATAGGTACAATACAAAACATTAAAAAGGTGTACCAGTATTATATACTTAAATTGTTCTGTTTAACAGATTCATTAATTATTTGTGTCGTTTAAAACTTAACCTATTACGTGGTATAAAATATTACCGACACAGTGTCCACAGCATTCCATAACCAGAAAGAAGATAATTTACTAAATTGTTGCCTTATCTAGATCCTAGCATAAAAGCTTAAGTATGGTTGAAGAGTCTAATGTAAATCCTAACAAACCCAAGGTATTGTGTTGCAGTTGGATATTAATATTTATTTTGAAGATATTTGTATTGATTCCTCTATCTAATTTGAATAATTACAGACGAAAACAACACGCCCCAAAGCAGTGTATTTGTGGACAGAAGCTGATGTTCAGAAATGGCTGCGTCGTCATTGCAGTGATTATTACAACCTTTATTGGGAAAAGTTCCACGAGGTATCTTTGTTTGAATAGACTTATATTAAAATACTAGTTCAGTTATTCGAAATATATTTAAGTATTAACAACAAACATTAATTTCAGCACGATATAACAGGACGGGCTTTGATCAGAATAAATGACAACACTTTGCTCAGAATGGGTATTATGAACCGTGAGCACAGAGATGCAATTTGGCGTGAGATTTTAAAATTGAGACTTAAAACTGATATCATGGAAATCAAGGATTTGGAACGTAGACACAACTATTTCAATGATGATTTGTGACACAGACCACCTTGTGAACAGAAGGAGAATTCATTCACATTTAAAAGTTTCTTTGGTAGAGAATCTGGTAACAGAAAAAGTGCAATTGTAAAATTACTAGGTGGTTTATTGACATTATGGACAATAAATAAGATGTTGAGTAATAGTAACTGATTAATGATAAGTAAAAGCATGATATTCTTATAATTTTTTATTATTTTAAAGCATGTAACTGCTTGATGTTTAAATCTAAAGATAGTAAGAAATAGCAATTATTTATAACTATAATTGCTATTTCTTCTTTCAAATGTTTAATACTTGTAAAAGTATTCATGTGACATTGTGAGTTACCTATAATGCGAAGAGATGGCGCTGCCTTGCAGCTTAAGAATGGCTAGAAGAATTTCAACGCGGTCCATAAGGGCCGCAGTAGCATAATTGGTCAGTGCATTTGCCTGGATTGCGAAGGGTGCGTGTTGGAGTCCCGTCTGTTGCCTGGTCCGCGTGGAATTTTTTCTAGTTATATTTTCTTATGATATTCTTTTTTAGAAATTCATGAAAGCAGCAAATGGATATCTAAGTGTTTTATTACAACTTATCAGATAATCTGGTGCTACAAACACAATTCTAGTAAAAATAATTATCAAGACTAAGTAAACACCAACCAAATTATTATATTATTTTTGTTGTAATATCACCTTGTAACAAATACATTGTACTTCACCAACTCCTAGAACTAAGATAATTTTAATACAGATTTCTTTTAGTATAACGTTTGTAAATGATGTGAGGGTGATGTGTATGATCTGCTGTAGGTAGGTAATACTTTAGTAATCAAGAAATACATAAGACTAAATTGAAATTATGGCCTAAAAGAGTAAAAAAATGAAAATGCTCATAAAGTAAAGTTAGTATTATGGATATTTAAGGGTAAAATTACTTAAAAAAACTGATCTGTTATCAGACCCGTCTTTCCAGGGGGGACTTTGGGCAAGTGCCCAGGGCCCCCCGATAAATCACCAAACGGAAGTCATAGGGGCCCCATTATCCTAATATGCCCAGGGCCTCCAATAGGTCAAAGACGGCACTGACTGTTATTGAATCATTTAATTAACTGGAGTTCATACCATGGATTGTTATTTACATTTATGTCTTTTTGTATCATAAAATAAAAGCATTGCTCATAAATTTGCCTTTAGTTAAACTTGTGATAATAATGATATCTAAATAATATAATATGTAATTGTTATCTAAATTGTATACATAACAATTTTATTGAATTTACTTTAAAAATTTAATTATATCAAGTGGCAATTAATTTTAAGAAACAATATCAAATAAAATGTGTTTTTTACATGTTCTAGTTTTTTTAAAATATTCAATTCAGTAAGGGTTGAGTAGATTTCTTTAGAAGTATACATAGGGCTGCCATCTCTAAAATGTGGCAACCAGGACAAGACGCGTGATAACCCCGGATTTTGGAGCCCAAAACCCGGACAGACCAATAAAAAAACGGTTAAAAATGTCACAAATGATAATAATTAATATTTCCAACACTCACACCAATTAGCCTAGCCCCAAAGTAAGCACTGTAAGTCTTGTATTATGGGATGCTAGGGTAACGGATAGAATACATATACTGGTGTCAATTCTGGTATGATTCTCTAAAGCTAAACTTAAATTTGACAACTGTGTATCTCTGTCATTCTCTATACAGACTGAAAAGGACAGACTGATGTCAAATTTAGTTTTAAGTTTAGAGAATCCTGCCAGAATCGACACCACTGTACATATATACGTATATTTATACAGGCTGGTCCAACTAGTGATTTCAACAATTTTTTTTTAGATTCCTCGCACCTGGGGGTATCCGAAAATACCCCATGTACGTTCCGCGATTTTTCTTAGTTTTCGAGTTATAAATTTTTCTGTGTATTTTTAATGATTTCTGCCAGCGAGGTTTCAAAAATTCTTATCTTTTTTCGTAGTAGGTATTTTGCAGTCTTATTTTTGTGACATAATTGTCTTGAATGTTGTTTTAATAAAAAATAACTCAACTTCCTGCAATTACTTAAAGTTACTCAAAAAAGGCTTGAAAGTTGAATCTTTAGTTTTTGATAGGATTTACTCAAACGTTCAACTTCAATACAAAAAGGAGTTTCTATAGCTTCTGGCTAAAATTAAAAACTCCGCATGCTTCTAAACTACCAAAAATCATTAAAAAAAATGTACTTAATCGGCCTATTTTTCTTGTAATTGGCTTTTGAAGGCGGATAGGATAAAAATCATTGAAACACGATTAAAGCATTAGACATTATTTTATCTACTATTTTCATTGTTATGGTAAATTAAACCTAAAAATGTAATTTCAAATTAAATTTAATTGAAATTTCTGTAAAATAACTTTAGCATGTTGAATTTTATAATAATTTCGGTTTCACTACTAAGATTTAAAATGTGAGCAAGAATAAAGATCAATATGGCTAGTTGGGAAATTTCCTGTTTTTTGATACAAATAAAAACCACAAATTACTGAAAAATTACTATTTGTTGCAGTAAATTTTCAAAACTCCTTCCTCCAACTTGAATACACAATTGACAATGTCTTAAAAAGTTATTTTTTAATTGTCTGAAGCTATTGTCTTGCTTTATTTTTCTTTCCGCTTCTGTAAGTTTTTGTCTCAATTCTTGTTCGCATTATAAATCTTAGTGGTGAAACCGAAATTATTGTAAAATTACACAATATGCTAAAGTTATTTTACAGGAATTTCAGTTAAATTTAATTTGAAATTATATTTTTAAGTTAAACTAGCTGACCCAGCGAACTTCGTACCGCCATAAAAAAAATTAATTAAAAAAACATTGTCCAGCGGACAAAAATTGTGAATCTAAACCATTCTCAGATCCCCTTGAACACACACAAAAAATTTCATCAAAATCGGTCCAGTCGTTTAAGAGAAGTTCAGTGACATACACACTCACAGAAGAATTATATATATAAAGATTTACCATAACAATGATGAAAAGTAGATAAAATATTTTTTAATGCTTTAATCATGTTTCAATGATTTTTAGCCTATCCGCCTTCAAAAGCCAATTACAACAAAAATAGAGTGATTATGTACATTTTTTTGTAATGATTTTTGGTAGTTTAGAAGCATGCGGAGTTTTTAATTTTAGCGAGAACCTATGGAAATTCCTTTTTGTACTTCTAAATTGAAGTTGAATGTTTGAGTAAATCCTACTAAAAACTAAAGTTCCAACTTTCAAGCCTTTTTTGAGTAACTGTAAGTAATTGTAGGAAGCTGTGTTATTTTTTTATTAAAACAACATTCAAGACAATTATGTCACAAAAAAAAAGACTGCAAAATACCTACTACGAAAAAAGATAAGAATTTTTGAAACCTCGCTGGCAAAAATCATTAAAAATACACAAAAAAAATATAACTCGAAAACTAAGAAAAATCGCAGAACATACATGGGGTATTTTCGGATACCCAAGGTGCGAGGAATCTAAAAAAAAAAGGTTGACGTCACTAGTTAGACCACCCTGTATATACTTAAACATCCATGACTGGAGTTCAAATGCTCGTATTCATCACACAAACATCTGCCCCCACCGGGATTCGAACCCGGGACCTCTCGAGTCGGTGACACCATGAAACCCGGCGTACAAACCACTCAGCCACGGAGGTCGTCTTTTTTATGTTAATGTAGGCAAAAGAGCTAGCTATCCACCTGATAATAAGTGGTCACTGCAGCCCATGGACACTTGCAGCACCAAGGGCCAATCATGCGTTGCCGGCTCTGAATGAAAAGGTTCATCTGCCTTTTTAAGATTACCATATCATAGCTATAAGAAAAAAATACTAAGGGAAGTGCGTTCCAGATCTTGCTGGTACGCAAAAGAAAGGAACACATGATGCTCGAACGCCAGGCGTCCAGATGGTGGGCGTGAAACTTCTCTGCGGTTTGTGATGCTGTAAAGAAGCTTGGCCACTGGCATCCGGTTGAATAATTCCTCGGAACACTCTCCATTGTATAGACTGTACAACACGTACAAGGAGTTGCGTCCTTGTGCGTGTTGTACCGTCTGCGTAGTTAAAGGGTTGCAACGCGTGAGTGAGCTCAGGATCATCGATAAGTCAAACTGCCCGCTTTTGCATCCGGTCAAGAGGAAGGAGCTGGTATTGGGGTGCTCCAGCCCAGAGGACCAGTACTTTGTATAATAACACCCGATATTTAGGCTTGAGGTACTTACTATATCTATTGAGCACCCAAGCTTTTTCACACACACATGTGTCTTTGCTGGGTTAATTTGAAACTTGATCCAGTAACATCTCAATCTCGGACACAAGTCTGTCTTTACACCCTTTTACTTCCAGCCGAGGGATGTTTGACCGACCAGTGTAAAAATTATCGAATTCGAATAGTTAGCGAGTCCGAAATGTCATTGTCAAATTTTGTATGAAAATTTGATCAGCGCAGTGGCACCATAACGGACGTAACGAGAACTAAGAATCAGTGCACATTTGACAATGACATTTCGTGCTCGCAAACGATACGAATTCGATATTTGTTCGTGCTAGGGGTACTGATCTTTGTAGGAAGTCAGCATTTACGGTTACAGTGTTAGAATAGATTTATTTATTTTCAAAGACATATTGACAGATCAATTGGCGATTAAAGACAGAAAATTTATAAACCCGGACTACAAATGAAACCCCGCCCGGACGCTCCCCGGACGCCCCGTAAACTAGGACTAATCCGGGGAAACCCGGACGGATGGCAGCCCTAAGTATACAGAAACTATGCAAGGTTAACATATGTTTGTTTTGTAATAATACTTATAGGTCATAGGATGATCTGATTAATTTAATTTTTGTCAAAATCTTATAGGAATTTCTCTAAAAATCATTTTATCAGATCACCCTACCATAATGGCGAATTGGACAATGGCATTGTTGAATAACATTGTTCAATCTTACTGTTGACAATTTTTTTTCTGGTCACAGTGTGCCCTAAGGTTTATAATAACTCAAAGATTATTTTCTAATCTTACTGAAGCGACTCGCGTTTTCGAAGAAATCTATCTTTTTAAAAGCTTTTATTTAACTTGCAAAGTATGTATGTTTGTTCGGGTGGAATTTTGCAACTCTATATGGAAGCAGATATCTTCATTCGATTGAGCTGA